ATCCTTTATCTATTTTTCTTTAAAAAAAAACAATGTTTCTTATAAATAATATACTAAATAATTTGCACTAGAAATTTGAAAATTATTTCACTAAAAAAAAATTTTATTATTATTATTTTATTATTATTATTATTGTTGTTGTTTAGTAACTAAAGTTCTTAAATGAATAAAATTACATTGAACGTCAAGGGTAACTTCTCTTGACTGATAAAAGGGCATCAATCTTTAATACCATAAATCTTAAGCTCTTGAAATGCTAAACTTATATATCTTCACCAACTTCAACTGATATATCTCCCAAGTTTAAACTCATAAAAGAGTTACATGAACATCCCAGTGATTCATAACGTTCAATAATGAAGTTCCACTTAGTTCTGTCTTAAGAGAACTTGTTAATAATACACGCATAATATTATAGAAAATTTCTCACTTCTATTTAATGAACTCTCTAACAAAGAGAGTGTCTCGTAAAATTTAATCCTTAACTTCCGCTTTCTAACTTTAAACTTAAAAAAAAAAAAAGAAAAGAACTTTCATTTATCTACCATAAGATTTATAAAAAAAAATTTCTTTAAGATTCCACAAACATCCTGCAAACATTATCAAACGTTCAAACTGATACTGGTCTATATATACTCAAAATTATTTTCCTTCTCCTCCTCTCCCCCCTCTTCTTCTCCAAAAAACTACAGTACCTCTCTACTCATTTCACTCGTTCTCGATCCACTAACAAAATGATTCCAAATCCAATTTCTTTATCGCGGGAGCAATAAAGACACACGGCAAACGAACGAAATACAAACGAGGGCGGAATGGATTGCAGAAACGACGGCGGAAAACGAAAGACGACGCGAATTGAATTTTCACAATGTATCCATCCTGCCTCCTTTTCTAAGAGCCTTCCAGAACAAATTCGACTTTTATTTTTCGCGCGTCATATTGGCACCGAGGCATAGGTAAGATGGCAGAGAGAAAGAGAGAGAGAGAGAAGGGTGGGGAGGCGAGAGAGGTTTCCACGGCATCTTGGCTTCGTCTAGGAAATAATTTTATCCCGGTCGAGCGAGGTGGGCCCCGGTGCGCGCGATGCGGCAATAAAGAGCACGACAAATTGCTTTAGAGCTGCGAACTTTGCCGCGGTGAAACTACCCTCGTGTATCAACCATCCCGCCCTCCACTTCGACTCTCTTTCGAAATTCCGGTTGCAATCTTTTGTACATCGGACGTTCTTTGTTCCTGTGGAACGACGCAAAGAGAGAAAGAGAGAGAGAGAGAGAGAGAGTTGGAAAGATGCTCTGCTCTTTTTCCCCTCGATTTATGATTCTAACTATAAGTTAACGATGAGGAGGGTATCTGTAAAAAATGTAAGATATCTTTGAAGGATGAAGTTTGGAGGAGAGGTAGATATGCAAAAATGTTGAAGCTTATTTTTGGAGGTTATGGCGACGTTTGCACATAATGTACAATTTCATAAGTCTGCGTAATATTCTTCCAAGGAATACAAAATATGTATAAAATATTTTGTCGCGTAAAATGTTCCCTCAACCCTTATTCAACTATAATATATATATAATTCAACTATAGAATTTCATAACGTTGCAAATCTCAAATCTACATCTCTTTAATACAGCCAAGAAACATAACATAATCTTCATATCCCTGTCCCTAGTTATTTCTTCATATAACTTTCAAAATTCCTTTTTGCTCCTTTGATTCCCAAATCCTAACCTATTATATTATATTATATTATATTATATTATATAATTTTCTTACAAATTGTGGCTTACTCTCACGATTAATTATTAAAATTATTCCTCAAATCTGAACAAACTGAAATCCTGAAATTCCTCCCCAAACTCCTAGCATCAAAATTTCTCCCCCAGCCTCGAAGCAAAATTCCCAAAAGGAAGCCGCCCTTTGCATAAACAAACGATTAATTACCTTGCTCGGGTCCAGCTTGAATCACCTTTGGCTTCGGTTGCACGTTAAGCGGCGTCTCTTTTCTGAGAGGCGCGGCTGCGGGCACGAAACCGTTGGCCATTTGGGGCGCCGCGACGCCTGACGGCGCCAACCCTTGAACAGCCGCGTTGGCACGATCCTCCGTGTACAAGAGGAAGCACACGG